TCAGTATAGGATGACGGAAAAGTTCTGGAGATGATGGTGGTGGTTGCGCAACAGTGTGAATGTACTTACTGCCACTTAAAGATGATTAAAATGGTAAATTTTGTTATGTACATTTTACCACAAAAAAAAGTTAGTTAATTTAAAGTTAGTATTAGATATGAAATCAAAAGTATTCAGGAGCCTAAATCATTCAATTACTTGTAGAATTTTGGGGCCGATATGACTCAAACTCTTAAAGTTAATATGAGAGTCCAGGAACTGGAAATTCAGGTTCAAAAGTTACCTGTGAAGTCAAGTAGGTGATAAGACTGGGTTTCTAAAAATGATTCTAACAGATAAACTTTCAAATATTAAGCACATTAAAGCAGATTAAAAAATAAAATCTAATTGGATAGGTATAAAATTTTATTCTTCCTAGAGCAGTGAAAATGCTTTCACAAAAAGCATAACTAAATTTGGATAGAATTAAATCCATTTCTTACTAAATAGTTGGGGCAAATTGAAAAAAAAAAAAAACAGCAAAAATCATGGGCTTTGATCATCCCTGAAACAAATGCTTTAGGTTATATTAACTCATAAACCTTCTGAATTTGTAGAATGTTCATTTTATCACTAAACAAATAATTAGGAATTATATAATGGTCAGTAAGAAACAACTTCTAGGAAAAGATTAAAACTAAATATGTAGTATAATTTGAGCATGACTACATTAGGAATTTTTCCTTCATCATCAGAATTTTGTATTTATGCTCTTTTGGAATTTTAGAAAAAAACAGATGAGATGCAGTAAAAGATAACTCCATTTTAAAATGAGCAAAGGATTTTAAATAGATATTTCTGTAAAGGAAATATACAAATAGCTAATCGCCACATAAAAGGATCTTCAATATCATTAGTCATCAGGAAAATACACATCAAAAACCACATTGAGAAAAAAAAAAAGCAAATTGAGATACCACTCAGGCTTACTAGGATGGCTATAATAAATAAAAAAAAAAATTTTTTTAACCAAAAATAACTATCGTTGGCAGGGATAGAGAAAAATTCACTGCTGATAGAAATTTAAAATAGTGCTGCCACTATTGAAAGCAGCTTAGCAGTTCCTCAAAACATTAAACATAGACCACAATACCTAGCATGTACTTCTAGATAAGTACCTAAGAGAAATGAGAAGATATATCGACACAGAATCTTATACATGAATGTTCTTTGGCAGCATTATTCATAATAATCTAAAAAATGGAAAACAACCCAAAATTTTCA